ATTTTATGGTCTCTACAGCTCTGACCTTCCTTGCTCATGGTCCATGTCGTGTGGGTTCGCCTCCTGTACGGCTTTACGACCTCATTAAGTATTATTACTAGTTTTTAATCATTTTCGTGGCAAACAAACAAAAGACAATATTTGGTATTTAGGACACAGTGTAAGAACTCAGCATCCGTTCATATAACTAGAAATCGTTTTACCTGCTCCAGAGCCGTTCGTCGCGTTTGGTATATTCGCAGCGGCGTCCGCAAGTGACCTCCTTTCAGTCTGGTCTCGCTGCTCGAGTGTGGCGTCTAATGGAGAATTAGAAAATAAGCATAGTTATTATATACTAATGTAAGCACCATTGCAAGGTATCTGTAAGATACTTTTTACTGTCAAAATACCGACCCATATCTATTTTGCCAGTATTTTCAAGAGTTCCACGAGAACTTCTTGCCCAAACGGGACCACTTGGTCTTGTTAACGTTGTATGTGATTGTGTCATCGGTTTCTGAAACATAAGACAATATTTTGGTTTTTAGATTACACGACTGGTCACTATCTGGAACAAGCTAAGTCCTGATCTTCGTATGTAAAACTGGTACACAAAAAACCCAATTGTCCAATATTTTGGCATTTAAGCGATCTCTTGTGAGAGCTACATTCAGTAGATTTTATGGTCACTACAGTTCTGACCTTCCTTGCCCATGGTCCATGTCGTGTGGGTGCGCCTCCTGCACGGCTTTGCGACCTCATTAAGTATTATTACTAGTTTTTAATCATTGTCATTTTTGTACATAATGTATAATGTTTCATGGCATTCTATTGTACAGTATTTAATGTTTAATGCACGATATTGTAGGAATTTGTAGTTCATGTTAATGTGATTCAATATTGTAATCTGTTTTGTATCTAATATTGTAACTGTATATTGTAGTGTTTGGGAGGACAACTTGTAAAGGTGTCAATGCACCTGTTTTGTTCTCCCTTCCATTTGTATATTTCTACTTGTGGTAAACTCAAATAAACAAATAAACATGAGACAATATTTTGGTATTTAGGACACAGTGTAAGAACTCAGCATCCGTTCATATAACTAGAAATCGCTTTACCTGCTCTGGAGGCGTACATCGCGTTTGGTATATTCGCGGCGGCGTCCGCAAGTGACCTCCAATCGGTCTGGTCTTGCTGCTCGAGTGTGACGTCTGATGGAGAATTAGACAATAAGCATTATTGTTATATACGAATGTAAGCTACATTGCAAGTTATCTGTAAGATACTGTTTATTGTCAAAATACCGACCCCTATTTATTTTACCAGTCTTTTCAAGAATTCCACGAGAACTTCTTGCACCAGCGGGACCACTTGGTCGTGTTAACGTTGTAAGTGATTGTGTCATTGGTTTCTGTTTGACTAAACAAGTATCTATTGAAACCACGACTGGTCACTATCTGGAACAAGCTGAGTCCTGATCTTCGTATGTAAAACTGGTACACAAAACACCCTAATTAAGTATTATTACTAGTTTTTCATCATAATATATTTAATATATATTATGTAATATTTACATAATATTGTAGTGTTTGGGAGAACAACTTGTAAAGGTGTCAATACACCTGTTTCGTCTTCCCTTCAATTTGTTTCTTAGTACTCATGGTAAACTCAAATGAATAAATAAAGAAACATAAGACAATATTTTGGTATTTAGGATACAGTGTAAGAACTCAGCATCCGTTCATATAAGTAGAAATCGCTTCACCTGGTATGGACGCGTACATCGCGTTTGGTATATTCGCGGCGGCGTCCGCAAGGGACCTCCAGTCAGCCTGGTCTTGCTGCTCGGGTGTGGCGTCTGGTGGAGAATTAGAAAATAAGCATTGCTATCATATTTGAATGTAAGCACCATTGCAAGTTATCTGTAAGATACTGTTTACTGTCAAATTACCGACCCATATGTGTATTTTACCAGTCTTTTCAAAAGTTCCACGAGAACTTCTTGCACCAGCGGGACCACTTGGTCTTGTTAACGTTGCAAGTGATTGTGTCATTGGTTTCTGTTCGACAAAAAAATGTGTTTATTGAAACCACGACTGGTCACTATCTGGTACAAGCTGAGTCCTGATCTCATGGTCCATGTCGTGTGGGTGCGCCTCCTGTAAATGATTGTGTCATTGTTTCTGTTCGACCATACAATTATATTTATATATGTTTATTTAAACCACGACTGGTCACATTCTGGAAGAAGCTAAGTCCTGATCTTCGTATGTAACACCGGTACACAAAACACCCAATTGTCCAATATTTGGGCATTCAAGAGGTCTCTTGTAAAAGCTACATTCAGTAGATTTTATGGTCACTACAGTTCTGACCTCATTAAGTATTATTACTAGTTTTAATCATTGCCATTTTCGTGGCAAAGAAACAAACAAACAAAAGACAATATTTGTTATTTAGGACACATTGTAAGAACTCAGCATCCGTTCATATAAGTAGAAATCGCTTTACCTGCTCCGGAGACGTACATCGGCTTTGGCATACATGTAGTCGCGGCGGCGTCCGCAAGTGGCCTCCTTTCAGTCTGGTCTTGCTGCTCGGGTTTGGCGTCTGATGGAGAATTAGAAAATAAGCATTATTATTATATACTAATGTAAGCACCATTGCAACGTATCTGTAAGATACTGTTTACTGTCAAATTACCGACCCATATGTATTTTGAAATTCTTTTCAAAAGTTCCACGAGAACTTCTTGCCCAAAAACATAAGACAATATTTTGGTATTTAGATAACACGACTGGTCACTATCTGGAAGAAGCTAAGTCCTGATCTTCGTATGTAACACTGGTACACAAGCCACCCAATTGTCCAACATTTTGGCATTTAAGCCATCTCTTGTAATAGCTACATTCAGTAGATCTTATGGTCTCTACAGCTCTGACCTTCCTTGCTCATGGTCCATGTCGTGTGGGTGCGCCTCCTGTACGGCTTTACGACCTCATAAGTATTATTACTAGTTTTTAATCATTTTCGTGGCAAACAAACAAAAGACAATATTTGGTATTTAGGACACAGAGTAAGAACTCAGCATCCGTTCATATAACTAGAAATCGTTTTACCTGATCCAGAGCCGTTCGTCGAGTTTGGTATATTCGCAGCGGCGTCCGCAAGGGACCTCCTTTCAGTCTGGTCTTGCTGCTCGAGTGTGGCGTCTGATGGAGAATTAGACAATAAGCATTATTATTATATACGAATGTAAGCACGATTGCAAGTTAGCTGTAAGATACTGTTTACTGTCAAAATACCGACCCATATCTATTTTGCCAGTATTTTCAAGAGTTCCACGAGAACTTCTTGCCCAAACGGGACCACTTGGTCTTGTTAACGTTGTATGTGATTGTGTCATCGGTTTCTGAAACATAAGACAATATTTTGGTTTTTAGATTACACGACTGGTCACTATCTGGAACAAGCTAAGTCCTGATGTTCGTATGTAAAACTGGTACACAAAAAACCCAATTGTCCAATATTTTGGCATTTAAGCGATCTCTTGTGAGAGCTACATTCAGTAGATTTTATGGTCACTACAGTTCTGACCTTCCTTGCCCATGGTCCATGTCGTGTGGGTTCGCCTCCTGTACGGCTTTGCGACCTCATTAAGTATTATTACTAGTTTTTAATCATTGTCATTTTTGTACATAATGTATAATGTTTCATGGCATTCTATTGTACAGTATTTAATGTTTAATGCACGATATTGTAGGAATTTGTAGTTCATGTTAATGTGATTCAATATTGTAATCTATTTTGTATCTAATATTGTAACTATATATTGTAGTGTTTGGGAGGACAACTTGTAAAGGTGTCAATGCACCTGTTTTGTTCTCCCTTCCATTTGTATATTTCTACTTGTGGTAAACTCAAATAAACAAATAAACATGAGACAATATTTTGGTATTTAGGACACAGTGTAAGAATTCTGCATCCGTTCATATAACTAGAAATCGCTTTACCTGCTCCGGAGGCGTACATCGGGTTTGGTATATTCGCGACGGCGTCCGCAAGGGACCTCCAATCAGTCTGGTCTTGCTGCTCAAGTGTGGCGTCTGATGGAGAATTAGACAATAAGCATTATTGTTATATACAAATGTAAGCACCATTGCAACTTATCTGTAAGATACTGTTTACTATCAAAATACCGCCCCATATGTATTTTACAAAGGATGGCAGGACCAAATAGTGACTGACACTGGATGGCCCCTCAAGGTCGCAGAACAGAAGGCTAAGGAACGTGCTAACTGGAGGGAGAAAGTGAAGAGGTGCAAGGGGCCAGTTCTGGCCTAGGCATTTAGGTAAGCAGGTAGGCATGTATTTTACTAGACTTTTCAAAAGTTCCACGAGAACTTCTTGCCCAAACGGGACAACTTGGTCTTGTTGACGTTGTATGTGATTGTGTCATCGGTTTCTGAAACAATATTTTGGTATTTAGATAACACGACTGGTCACTATCTGGAAGAAGCTAAGTCCTGATCTTCGTATGCAACACTGGTACACAAGCCACCCAATTGTCCAATGTTTGGGCATTCAACAGATTCAGTAGATTTTATGGTCACTACAGTTCTGACCTTCCTTGCTCATGGTCCATGTCGTGTGGGTGCGCCTCCGACTTTACGACCTCATTAAGTATTATTACTAGTTTTTAATCATTGCCATTTTCGTGGCAAACAAACGAAAGATGATATTTTGGTATTTAGGACACAGAGTAAGAACTCAGCATCCGTTCATATAACTAGAAATCGTTTTACCTGCTCCGGGACCGTTCGTCGCGTTTGGTATATTCGCAGTGGCGTCCGCAAGTGGCCTCCGTTCAGTCTGGTCTTGCTGCTCGGGTTTGGCGTCTGATGGAGAATTAAAAAATAAGCATTGTTATTATATATGAATGTAAGCACCATTACTAGTTATCTGTAAGATACTGTTTACTGTCAAAATACCGACCCATATCTATTTTACTAGTCTTTTCAAAAGTTCCACGAGAACTTCTTGCCCAAACGGGACAACTTGGTCTTGTTAACGTTGTATGTGATTGTGTCATCGGTTTCTGAAACATAAGACAATATTTTGGTTTTTAGATTACACGACTGGTCACTATCTGGAACAAGCTAAGTTCTGATCTTCGTATGTAAAACTGGTACACAAAAAACCCAATCGTCCAATATTTTGGCATTTAAGCGATCTCTTGTGAGAGCTACATTCAGTAGATTTTATGGTCACTACAGTTCTGACCTTCCTTGCTCATGGTCCATGTCGTGTGGGTTCGCCTCCTGTACGGCTTTGCGACCTCATTAGTATTATTACTAGTTTTTAATAATTGTCATTTTTGTACATAATGTATAATGTTTCATGACATTGTATTGTACAGTATTTAATGTTTAATGCACGATATAGTAGGAATTTGTAGTTCATGTTAATGTGATTCAATATTGTAATCTGTTTTGTATCTAATATTGTAACTGTATATTGTAGTGTTTGGGAGGACAGCTTGTAAAGGTGTCAATGCACCTGTTTTGTTCTCCCTTCCATTTGTATATTTCTACTTGTGGTAAACTCAAATAAACAAATAAACATGAGACAATATTTTGGTATTTAGGACACAGTGTAAGAACTCAGCATCCGTTCATATCACTAGAAATCGCTTTACCTGCTCCGGAGGCGTACATCGCGTTTGGTATAGTCGCGGCGGCGTCCGCAACTGACATCAAATAAGTCTGGTTTTGCTGCTCGAGTGTGGCGTCTGATGGAGAATTAGAAAATAAGCATTGTCATTATATAGGAATGTAAGCACCATTGCAGGTTATCTGTAAGATACATTTTACTGTCAAATTACCGACTCATATCTATTTTGCCAGTCTTTTCAAAAGTTCCACGAGAACTTCTTGCACCAGCGGGACCACTTGGTCTTGTTAACGTTGTAAGTGATTGTGTCACTGGTTTCTGTTTGACCAAACAAGTATATTTAAATGTGTTTATTGAAACCACGACTGGTCACTATCTGGAACAAGCTAAGTCCTGATCTTCGTATGTAAAACTGGTACACAGGTCACCCGATTATCCAACATTTTGGCATTTAAGTGATCTCTTGTAAGAGCTACATACATGAATGTAAGCACCATTACAAGTTATCTGTAAGATACTGTTTACTGTCAAAATACCGACCCATATCTATTTTACTAGTCTTTTCAAAAGTTCCACGAGAACTTCTTGCCCAAACGGGACAACTTGGTCTTGTTAACGTTGTATGTGATTGTGTCATCGGTTTCTGAAACATAAGACAATATTTTGGTATTTAGATTACACGACTGGTCACTATCTGGAACAAGCTAAGTCCTGATCTTCGTATGTAACACTGGTACACAAGCCACCCAATTGTCCAACATTTTGGCATCTAAGCCATCTCTTGTAAGAGCTACATTCAGTAGATTTTATGATCACCACAGTTCTGACCTTCCTTGCCCATGGTCCATGTCGTGTGGGTGCGCCTCCTGTACGGCTTTGCGACCTCATTAGTATTATTACTAGTTTTTAATCATTGTCATTTTTGTACATAATGTATAATGTTTCATGACATTGTATTGTACAGTATTCAATGTTTAATGCACGATATTGTAGGAATTTGTAGTTCATGTTAATGTGATTCAATATTGTAATCTATTTTGTATCTAATATTGTAACTATATATTGTAGTGTTTGGGAGGACAACTTGTAAAGGTGTCAATGCACCTGTTTTGTTCTCCCTTCCATTTGTATATTTCTACTTGTGGTAAACTCAAATAAACAAATAAGCATTGTTTTGCCAGTCTTTTCAAAAGTTCCACGAGAACTTCTTGCACCAGCGGGACCACTTGGTCTTGTTAATGTTGTGTTTGTGTCACTGGTTTCTGTTTGACCAAACAAGTATATTTAAATGTGTTTATTGAAACCACGACTGGTCACTATCTGGAACAAGCTAAGTCCTGATCTTCGTATGTAAAACCGGTACACAGGTCACCCGATTGTCCAACATTTTGGCATTTAAGTGATCTCTTGTAAGAGCTACATTCAGTAGATTTTATGGTCATTACAGTTCTGACCTTCCTTGCTCATGGCCCATGTCGTGTGGGTGCGCCTCCTGTACGGCTTTACGACTTCATTAAGTATAATTACTAGTTTGTAATCATTGCCATGTTAAATGTATGATATTGTAGGAGTTTGTATTTCATGGTAGTGTAGTTAGATATTGTAATCTGTTTTGTATTCAATATCGTAACTGTATTTATATTGCAGTGTTTAGGAGGAGGTCAAGCAGAGAAACTGCTGTGCCTAATGGATAACCACGGGTTATCCCAAACAGTGCAAAAAAGAACCAACCAGAAATGGTAACCTTTTGGATCTGGTTTTGGTTAATAACCCCAGCATAATTGAAAAGACCACAGTAGTCCCGGGAATAAGTGATCACGACATGATTCTGGTGGATGTTAACTTGGTACCGAAACAAAACAGGAAACCCAAGAGAAAAGTTTACATTCGCACAAAAGCCGATGAACCAGCCACCAAGAAAGATCTCACGGACTATGCCAATAACTTTGACAAAAGAACAGAGGACATGTCAGTATCAGAGAAGTGGGCAGACTTCAAAGGCAAGATGGAACATACTATGAACAGGCCCATCCCAAGCAAAATGACTTCAAGCAGATACAACTTGCCCTGGTTTAATAGAAATCTAAGGCGACATTGTCGTGAGAAGCAACGCCTTTATAACAAAGACTGGAAGACTGGAACAAATATATGACAATGACAATGAACTTTATTGCATGTTCACGCCCTACACGGGCCAAATGCACTTAAGTTCAATAACTTGGTAATAAGAATAGAAGGAGCAATTGTTACATTCGTGTGCTATTTCTCTATCTACAGGATCTACCTACAGGATCTCTTCTCTCTTTTTGAAACATGTATGAATAAATTTACACAGTTTTTCAATCATATCATAGCGCTTGGATGTCATAATATGTTTGAACAATTCAATTTTCCGGAAGTATGCAAATTTCTTTTCTAACTGTAAGGAGCTAATAAAGGATTTCCGGATGTCATTGTATACCGCACATTCTAAAACAAAGTGTGCTTCATCCTCTCTACAGTTATAGTTACATAGAGTGCAGATTCTGCTGTCTGCGGGAGTCTGGTTGTACCTACCGATTTCGATCTGTAATTGGTGATCACTAATCCTTAATTTTGTCATTGCTCGGCGATGACTGAAGTTTTGTACATCTAAATATTGTTCTTTTTCATACGTAAGCTGAAACAAAATATTGTTTTGTTAGTTCTTAACTTATTTCCTTGTTTTCCATTTTTGCTGCATTTGGAGTTTGTTTCTGAGTAGAAATATTGAAGATAATTGTCTTTTAGTCTTTGTTTTAATTCAGATTGAGCAGATGATGTGTTTCTGTCTTTTTGTAGTACAAGGTAGGCAAAACCTGACTCCTCGAGTATTCTAGTAATATTTGACATCCAGCATGGTATTTTACACCGGTGCAAGTCTTGCTGCACTAACAGAGCTTCATACAATAAGTTCTCTTTCGGTAATCTTTTATAATACGAATAAATTCTTGTATATACTTCTATCCATAGCGGGAATCTTCCTAGTTCTGCTCTTGAGCCGATATTGCTAGCATTTTTTCTTACACCAAGGATTGACTTGCAGGATTTTAAATGTATTTGTTCTATTGGGCAGTTGTCGTTTAGACCAATCTTGCCCCATACTTCTTCACCGTACGTTAATATGGGGACAATACAAGCATCGAATAATTTACAGTAGACTGACATTGATGCATTACTGTCACCTAGACTTGATTTTATGCTGAAGAGGGCTCGTATAAGGCCTTTTTTTGTAAAGTTTTCATTGCAGTGCTGAAGTTACCGCCAGTTGTAAATATAATTCCTAAGTAACTGTAGGAGGATACAATTTCAATATTTTGGTTTCCTACGTAAAATTTAAAGTTTGGAAGCAACTGCGCCTTTTTGTTGAAAATCATTATTTTTGTTTTGTTTATATTAATTGATAATTTCCATTTTTTGCAGTACTGGTTTAGATTGTTTATTGATTTTTGTAGGCCACGTTCGCTTGTCGATAACAGCACAAGGTCGTCTGCGTAGAAAAGGCTAGATAATTTGTTTGTGTTCAATATGGGGGCATCAAAATTTTCGGAATCTGTAGTTAGTTGGTTGGCTAAATCACTCATATATAAGTTAAATAGAGAAGGGCTTAAGACACAGCCTTGTCTTACTCCAATTTCTACTGGGAAACTCTCGCTGAGACCTTTACTCGTCTTGACGCTAGCTGTGGATTGGTTATATAGGTTTTTTAAAACGTCGAAAAATCTTCCTGATATACCTGCTGATAAGAGTTTGAAAAGTAGACCCTCGTGCCAGATAGAGTCAAATGCCTTTGATAAATCTACAAAGCAGGCAAAGAGCTTTTTTCCTGGTTGGGTATGTTTAGAGATTAGGGTCTTTAAAAGAAAGATATTGTCAGAGGTTCTGTAATGTTTACGGAATCCTGTCTGGTTTGTTATAAGAGAGTTATAAAGGGAGTTCAAACATAAAACAAGCACACCCGAAATATGTGGCAGACATACTGGGAGAAGCTATATAGTTGACAAACCCAAAACATTTTGGTCGTACAATCGACAAAGGAACATAAATTTCCCCCAATGGTTATTTGAATTGTGCCTTTTGTCCCAGAATGTGGCTATGCACTCGTGGAAAACAGCGTTTTAGTGCATATTTTCAAACAGAACAAGGGCGAGGCAATAAAAATCATTGCCAAAGCGACGACTGAATGATATATATTATTTCATGTGGTGGAGCTAGCAATCTACATCACAATTATAAGAGAAACAGATTTCCCTATCTTATAAAGACATGCATGTAGTGAAATTTACAGGATGGATGGAGGAGGTGTGGGGCAATATTCCAAATACACGTATAGGAGGAATCAGTCGTTCTTCCCCAGCAATATAGATTTTATGATGACATACTTACTTACTTTACTTTGGTCGAGTTCCCGCTCGAACCAAACTTAAAACTATCCTCCACTTCACTCTATCCTCCACTAGAGACTGTATTTTACGTCTGATCTGAAGTTGTTACTCCTAGGACTTGTTTGACCTTTTGTGGGTCCCCAAAGGACAGATAATTTCTTTTCTCTGTGCTATCTGTTTGAATAAACCCACCCCCACTAGCCTAAATGTTCTTGGGGAGGGAAAGTCAGATTCCTGATCAAGTGGTTTTAGACCAAAGACAGCTGTGCTCTCTGTCCATGGACCATGGTGTGGGGAGAAGACGGATGACCAGTAATTAACCATGCCAGGCAGCTGAATGGGTAGCACGTGGGCACAGGGTGTAAGTTACCTGCTTGATCCAAAAACCACATGGCCGAAGGTTACCTCAGAACCAATTCCCTGGGGAATGCATTCGTGCAATTTTTGAAATTCTTTCAAAGCGATCGTAGTACTTGCACAAATGCCTCCGCCCCAAAGGCGTCGCCAAAAATTACAAAGAAATGCTACGTACAGAACAGTGCGTTTTGGCTGCGAACACGTTAAAGCTTCGGTCAAATACTTAATGCATGGGCAAAAAAAATCTGGTACCACTTATCGGCCCATCCTTACATCTGCCAAAACTTTTCTGGACCATTCCAATTTGCCTCATAATTGTAGGGGTGCATTTGAAATATTACATTGACCGCGAAAACAGCAACGGCAAAAATACACATTCGTGCATCAACACGGGCATGCCCGCAGACGGCGTATAAAGTTGCATGCCCATTACACAAAGGGAACCCTGTGTTCTAGCTGCGAAACACGAAAAAACGGCTGTTCACAACACTCCGTCCGGAGGTCCAGACGGAGTAATAAACAAACATAAGACATTATTTTGGTATTAATATGTAGGACGAAGTGTGAGAATTCTGTACCAGTTCCTATAACTAGAAATCGCTTTACCTGCTCCGGAGACGTACATCGGGTTTGGCAAACATGTAGTCGCACCGGCGTTCGCAAGTGGTCTCCTTTCAGTCTGGCCTTGCTGCTGGGGTGTGGCGTCTGGTGGACAAAATAAGCATTATTATTATTATAATATACGAAAGTAAGCATCATTGCAAGTTAGCTGTAAGGTAAACTTAAAATTTCCATCAGGCCAACTGAATGAAATCAATAGTGCATCTAGTCACCCCTTCCAACAAACAGCTTTGAGCAACAAGAATGGATCTGTGCGACCCTGAATTTTATGATTGCAAAATAATTGTTGCACGAGAAAACCAAGCAAGACCAGGCAAAGGTCGGAAGAGGGGGTGGCCAACTTGAGACACAATTTGTATGTGTGGCATCCATTATATAATTAAAACCCTTTATGGCTGAAAATTGCTAAAATATTGAGAGGGCTACCCTGATAATTCTGGTAGAATGCGACCCGCCGGGCCGCTTCGTCACGTCCATCTCACTTGTTTTTCTAACCATGCATATGGCTGTTCATAGTTCATCATACCTATCACACATAAACATTCTGAGCCAATCTGGCTGCCCCCATCCTCCGACCTCTGCCTGGTTTTCTTATGAGAAAAGACACCAACACAAACAAAACTGTCAATGAAATTTCTGGAGCTATCTGTCAAATATTGGGTCGCTAATGCCCCTGTAACATTGTCGACGAGCTTCGGCCGTATTTGTCGATCGCCGAAAGATCGGCCGATTTTGAGATCGACCGACGATCGCGCGTATTTTTGGCTTGAAAATCGTCGCTGTCACATTGTGCGAGGCTCGGGCGATGGCTTGGGGATACATCTATGATAATGAAGTCCCTATGACATGGCAAGCAGATGAAGCAAGGCCATTGTATCCACCTAAAATGAATAGTTTGGCCAATTTTTATGTTTGACCTGTCGTAATATTTTTTAGCAAAGTAATGGAGCGGACTGGCAGAATAAAATAGAAAATAAGCAGGAATTCTGTGAAATATCCAACTCAAATACTACCACAAGAGCCACAAATTGGCACTACCGTCTGGTTAACATAAATACCCCCTTTTTAACCAAACAAGAGTCGGCCGAAGCTCGCTCGACACCCGGGCGCATGCGGCTCGAGTTACGGTGGACGATCTATCGATGCTCGCACGATCTCTAGACCATTCAACCAAAATGTACAACAACATAATGATTATCATCATATCAAAATCTTTTTTTCTACACGTGTACGTGTACCTGAAAAAAGCTAATAAGATATATTATTCTAAAACTTTGCCTCCATACTTCTGTCTAAAATAGTATGAATCTTCCAGTAAACAAGAGTGTTAGCCATTCAATGGCATCAGAAATATCTCTCTATCACATGACGTTCTTGTGGGCACCCTAAGAAACAAGTCAACCTCATTCCAGAATGAACAAGTGTAAAAGTCAATTTATAATTACAATCCTCTAAAATAAGACCACACACCTCCTGAAGGAACAAGAGTAAAGGATTTCAATCAGTTCGGTTCAAAATCTATTCAGCGACCATCGCCCGATTTTCGAAGACGAAAGGGGGCTGCCGGGTCCCGCCGCCAAGCGGGTCGGCATGGGCGCTCCTGGCTCTCCGCCTGCGCTGCTGCCTGCCGTGAGCCAGCGAGCGATTGACGAGAGAGCGACCGCCGGAGCGCCACCTTGTCGAGGCGTCGGGAAGAGAGAAGGGTCGGAGCGGGACGCCACGGGCACGAGACCCGCTCCTTGCCACCGTGTCAGAGACGACCACACGACGAGGTGCGTCGGCTTTGATTTCGGTAATGATCCTTCCGCAGGTTCACCTACGGAAACCTTGTTACGACTTTTACTTCCTCTAAATGGTCAAGTTTGATCGGCTTCTCGGCGCTCCTCCAGACCGTTGCCGGCCCGAGAGGGGCCGATCGACTGACCTCACTAAACCATTCAATCGGTAGTAGCGACGGGCGGTGTGTACAAAGGGCAGGGACGTAATCAACGCGCGCTGATGACACGCATCTACTGGGAATTCCTCGTTCATGGGAGATAATTGCAATCCCCGATCCCTAGCACGAAGGCGGTTCAGCAGGTTACCCGCACCTTTCGGCGAAGGCGAAAGACTCGCTGATGCCTTCATTGTAGCGCGCGTGCGGCCCCGGACATCTAAGGGCATCACAGACCTGTTATTGCTCCATCTCGTCCGGCTTACTGCCGGCTGTCCCTCTGAGAAGTTGCGGCCGATCGCGCGGGATCGCCGAACTAGTTAGCATGCCAGAGTCTCGTTCGTTATCGGGATTAGCCAGACAAATCGCTCCACCAACTAAGAACGGCCATGCACCACCACCCACAGAATCAAGAAAGAGCTCTCAATCTGTCAATCCTTACTGTGTCCGGGCCGGGTGAGTTTCCCCGTGTTGAGTCAAATTAAGCCGCAGGCTCCACTCCTGGTGGTGCCCTTCCGTCAATTCCTTTAAGTTCCAGTTTTGCAACCATACTTCCCCCGGAACCCGAAAACTCAGGTTTCCCGGGAGCTGCCCATCGGGTCATCGAAGTAACGCCGGCGGATCGCTGGTTGGCATCGTTTATGGTTGTGACTATGGCGGTATCTGATCGCCTTCGCGCCCACAACTTTCGTTCTTGATCAATGAAAACATTCTTGGCAAATGCTTTCGCAGTGGTTCGTCTTGCGGCGATCCAAGAATTTCACTTCTCCCGCCGCAATACGAATGCCCCCGTCCGTCCCTCTTGATCATTACCTCACGTTCCAAAGACCAACTAAATAGAACCGAGGTCCTATTCCATTATTCCATGCACCACAATTCAGGCGCCAGGCCTGCTTTGAACACTCTAATTCTAAATTTTACACTCTAATTACTGAGGCGATCAGCTCATCGATGTGCTCAAGTGACGACGAAACATGAACTCTTACTGACTATTGAACTCGTGTAAGTGATTAATTTGTTCCTCATGACAACTAATATATCATTTATGTCACTTAATGTCAGGGGATTACGAGGTACACAAAAGAGACGAAGTCTATATTGCTGGTTTGAAAAACAAAAAGCTGATGTTTTCCTTTTACAGGAGACATATTTTACAGATGATAAAATTAATATCTTTGAATTAGATTGGAATGGCCCCCAGTTCCACGACTTTGGTGGACAACACAGTAAGGGTGTGTCTATACTTTGCAAGAAAAACATAAAGTTGGACGTTATGGAGGTAATAAAGGGGCAGGATGGTAGAAGATTAATGATTAAATGTAAAGACTTCACTCTCTTGAATGTGTACGCTCCTTCCGAGCGGGGAGAACAAGTATCGTTTCTCACTACGCTAAAAGACTGGATAGTGGTAAACAATGTGGATAATCTTGTCGCAGGTGGTGATTTTAATATGATTAACGATCTGGTCTTAGACAGGTCCAGCAAGAGACAAACCCAATTTACTGCACCTGAAAAAGCACTTAGCAGCTTTAAAAAAATGTTAAGCCTCGTAGACATATGGCGGGAAACACATCCCCATGTACGACAGTACACCTGGAGGAGACAAAATCCAGACCCTGTTTCTAGCAGATTGGATTTTTGGCTTATCCACAGATCGCTAGCTGCGCATGTAGCAAAATGCGATATAAGATTTTCTATTAAAACAGATCACCTTGCAATCTTTTTGAAACTACATTTCGAAAATGCTTCTAGGGGACCTGGATTTTGGCGCCTAAACACTTCACATCTCAGTGATGAGAAATATGTTAAAGGAGTTAAGTCTACAATACAAACTGTTGTTAGTGATTGTAATTACCTTGATGTATCCAAACAACTAGTTTGGGAAACTTGTAAGAAGAAGGTTAAGGAGTTCTCTGACTCCTATTCCAGGGCTAAAGCCTTTAAAGTGGATACAACACTTGAAAAGTTAGAAAAGAGACTTCAAGAACTAGAGAGTAAGTTAGATGATAAACTTGAAGACATTGTTCTAAACGAATACACTCAAATAAAGCTAAAATTGGAAAATATATATGAATATAAAGCAAAAAGGAGCACAAATTAGAGCTAGGGCAAAGTGGACAGAGAAGGGAGAAAAGTCTAACAAATTTTTCTTGAATCTTGAAAATACTCGCTCAAAACAAAATACCATTACTAAATTAAAGGATGGAAATGAAGAAGAGACAAATCCGTTTAAAATTATAGACTTGGAAGTAAACTTTTACAAAAACCTGTATTGTTCTAAGAACCCTGTTACTGATGAACAGATTGATACTTTTCTTGAGTCTGTTGAGGTACCCTCTCTCACAGATGAGAAATGCTACTGTTAGATGAACCTATAACTAAAAATGAATGTTTCGCAGCATTGAAAGCGATGAACCAAAACAAAGCGCCTGGAATTGATGGCCTTCCTACCGAATTTTATCTGAAATTCTGGGATGAAGTAGGAGACTTGGTCTTCGAATCCCTGTGTGAAGCAATTGAAAGCAAATACCTTTCTGTGTCCCAGAAGAGAGCTTTGTTAAAACTTATTCACAAAAAGGGGGATAAGACTAACTTATCCAACTGGAGACCAATTAGTTTGTTGAACACTGACTACAAGATACTAGCTGTGGTATTAGCAAGACGAATGCAGAGTTTCTTACCGAAACTAATTTCAGAAGATCAGACGGCTTATATTAAGTCAAGGTTTATAGGACAAAATGTTAGATTGATACAAGATGTTATTTATTATTCTAATTTTTACAACCTACCTGCAGCAATCGTCTGGCTTGATTTTAAAAAGGCATTCGATTCAGTTAACTGGAATTTTATGTCTAGAACGTTAAATAAGTTTGGTTTTGGACCTACTTTCACTTCAATAGTTAGAACAATGTATACTGATATTGAAAGTTGTATCGTCAATGCAGGTTGGAAGTCTGCCTACTTTAAATTACAACGAGGAATCAGACAGGGATGTCCCTTATCTGCCTTATTATTCAACCTTGTAGTTGAAATT